TGTGAAAGCCATCCGCTTGTGGTATTTCTGTTAGAGTAGCACAAGATGATTAAGATAACCTCCTAAATTGATTTCATGCAGTTTAAAAACACTTTGTTAGCATATACTAAGTACTCAATGAGTATTAGCTACTAATATAATTGACTCAGGGTCTGACACTTTGGTATGTTTTATGGAATGATTTTTTGCGTGAGATTTAACCATTAAAAATGAAAAATAAAAAGATTTGTGTCTAAAGAAAATATTGAAAACTACAATTCTTCATCAGCTGTCAGCAAATTTTTCTGTCAAGGGTCAGATGGTAAATATTTTAGGTTTTGTGGGCCATATGGTCCCTGATGATGTTGTTGTTAGACACCATCAAGTCGGTTCCGATTCATCGAGACCCTGTGTACAACAAAACGAAACACGGCCGTGTCAGCGCCATCCTCACAATCGTTGCTATGTTTGAGCCCATTGTTGCAGCCACTGACCCTCTACTTTACCAAGCATGATGTCCTTCTCCAGGGACTAGTCCCTTCTAATAACATGTCCAAAGTACACGAGACGAAGTCTTGCCATCTTTGCTTCTAAGGAGCATTCGGGCTGTACTTCCTCCAAGACAGACTTATTTGTTCTTCTGGCAGTCCATGGTATATTCAGTATTCTTCGCCAACACCGTAATTCAAAGGTGTGAATTCTTCTTTGGTCTTCCTTATTCATTGTCCAGCTTTCACATGCATATGAGGTGACTGAAAATACCCTGGCCTGGGTCAGGAAAACCTTAGTCCTCAAAGTGACACCTTTGCTTTTCGACATTTTCAAGAGGTCTTTTGCAGCAGATTTGCCCAATGCAATACGTCATTTGATTTCTTGAATGCTGCTTCCATGGGCGTTGATTGTGGATCCAAGTAAAATGAAATCCTTGACAACTTTAATCTTTTCTCCGTTTATCATGATCTTGCTCATTGATCCAGTTGTGAGGATTTTTGTTTTCTTTATGTTGAGGTGTAATCCATACTGAAGGCTGTGGTCTTTGATCTTCATCAGTAACTGTTTCAAGTCCTCTTCACTTTCAGCAAGCGGGTTGTGCCATCTGCATATCACAGATTGTTAATGAGTCTTCTTCCAATCTTGATGCTGCATTCTTCTTCATATAGTCCAGGTTCTCGGATTATTTTGTTCAGCATACAGATTGAATAAGTATGGTGAAAGGATACAATCCTGATGCACACTTTTCCTGATTTTAAACCACACAGTACCCTCTTGTTCTATTCTAACGACAGCCTCTTGGTCTATGTACAGGTTCCTCATGAGCACAATTAAGTGTTCTGGAATTCCCATTCTTCGTAATATTATCCATAATTTGTTATGATCCACACAGTCGAATGCCTTTGCATAGTCAATAAAACACATCTTTCTGGTGTTCTCTGCTTTCAGCCAAGATCCATCTGACATGATCCCTGTTATGACCTCTCAACTTTGCCTTTGTAGAGCAGCCACAGACAATACATAAATGAGTGGGCATGGCTGTGCTCCACTAAAGCTTTATCTACAAAACCAGGCAGCCAGCTAGATTTGGCTCACAGGCCATAATTCGCCAAACCCTGATATAGGCCATTCCTAAGCGCCCTCCAGTCTGATATGTACAGATGTGAGTTATTAACAATTGCTACCATTTATTAAAGGAGCCCTGGTGGTGCAGTGGTTAAGCACCAGCTGATCTGAGGGAGAAAGATGTGGCAGTCTGGTTCTGTAAAGATTATGGCCTTTGGAAACCCTGTGGGGGCAGTTCTACTCTGTCCTATAGGGTTGCTATGAGTCAGAATTGACTTGACGGCAATGGGTTTAGTTTGGTTTTGGTTGGTGGTGCAGTGTGCTCAATCGCTAATCTAAAGGTCAGTGGTTCAAACCCACCCAACAGCTCCTTGAGAGAAAGACCTGGAGATCTGCTCTCATACGGATTACAACCTATAGGGCAGTTCTACTCTGTCATGTGGGGTTGCTATGAGTCAAAATCGACTTGACGGCCCGCAACAACAACCACAACCGTTTACTAAACCTTTCCTACGTGTCATGAAGCTTACGAGGTACGTTTGGAGACATTATTTTCAGGTCTAAGGCTCACAGTAGTCTTGTGGGGTAAGGAGGATTTCTCCAGTTTGTACAAACGAGGACAATGAGGCTGGGACACTGCCACTTGTGAAAAGAGGGGCCGTGGAGGGCAGGTTATTTTAACTGATACCTGAGCAGCTGTATCCTCGCCTGCAATGTGAGGTGAAAGCAGAACTCCCCTCACAGGCTGCTGTGAGGATTAAATGAGTTCATCTGTGGGCGCCCAAGGGTCCCCAGCTGATCCCAGGACCCTGCCTGGAAGGCAAATAAAACTCAATTGTGACTTGTGGGTGAAAGGACTCCACCAGCTTTCCATCACGGCACTTACGTCATACTTGATCACGAGCGTGACGGGCACGCTGGGCAGCTTCTGAGCCCAGTCCACAACTGCCTGGGCCAAGAGGAAGGCCACGTGATCTGTGGCCACTGTCACAGCTGTGGCTGCCAGAAGTAGGGTGAGCATCCCCAGCTTTAGGAGACAACTCAGCAGCTCCTCCTGGGACAGCCTCAGCTGGGCCGCCTGGAGCAGCCAGGCTGGTGGGGAGGCCACCAAGTGTGTGGCTTGGGCCTCTGCCAGCTGCCCAACCAGCTGCCGTGTGGCATAGATGTTGTCGAACTGTAGGTCAGTCAGGTAGCGATGGAGGTACCAGGCAGACTCCACCAGGAGGCCTAGTACAAAGACCACGGCGACCACCCTCTGGGCCTCCAGTGCTGCTGCCCGGGCCAGGGTCTCCAGGTCAGAGAAGTCCTCCAGGACCTGCTCAGTGACCCTGAGCATATGAAGCCGGAAGGCAGAGCCATTGCCCTCGGCCCCGAACGTCAGGCGCCTGCTGCCTGCCTGGCCTGCAGGGTCCAGAGCCCTGGATGCCGCATGCAGCTGGTGGGTGGTGTTGAGCAGACTCTCCAGGGACCCCTCGGTGACACACCTCAGCACCCGCCCGGCCACTTTTACGTTGGACAAGACGTTGGGCACCACGATGCTGGCCAGGGTGGCAGCACTGCAGGACAGGAGTAGGTGGCGGCCCTGCTTTGTGCCCAGGGTGGGCACACTGAGTGCGAACAGGCAGCGGGCGGGGGGCACCAGGCCCAGGCCCAGGAAGACCAGGAAACCACAGACGGCAGCCACTGTGGCAGAGGGTCCCAGAGGATAACGCAGTGAAGACACCAGCCAGTGGTGGGTCAGAGCTGCAGCAGTGGAGGCCAGGGAACCACACAGGAGGATCTGGGTCAGCAGCTGGCCACAGCTGGTGGGGACAGGCCAGGAGAAGTCATTCCAGGCTGCCTGCAGCAAAGCAAGGGCCTTACAGAGCCCCAAGTGCCAGAACCTCCACCTGCACACAAGGAAATGGGGGGAACCTCTGTCAGGAGGATGGGGGTCTGCCCAGTGCCCCTGTCCCACAAACCCTTCACCTGCTAACAGATTCCACCTCTTTAGCCTCAGTGGCAGGCAGCTTCCCAGGTGTGCCAATCAGAGTAACCCATCTCATAGGCCACATGACACAAGCTGAACCAATCAGAGCCTTCCCCAGGATTATTCTCATTGGAGTTGTCAGGGAACAAGATAATGGAAGTCACTGAGAGAAGCAAAGATGAGAGAGAAGTAGGGAGGGAGGGAGAGAGAGAGAGTGAGAGCAAGCGACTATTACACTTGAAAGCATCTCTTGCTTGGCTCACTGTGTGACCCTGGACAGGGCCTTCTTGAAGAGGCTGTTTCTCCTCTGCAATTGGAGATGGGGCGAGGTGTAGACCAGTTGGCTTCTCAGAGACTTTCCTACTCTGACTAATCGAGGGTTCTAGCTACTGTCCTTATATTTATTAATTCCACAAATATTTACTAAGTCATTGGGGAAACCAAAAAAAAAAAAAAAAACCAAACCTGTTGCAGTCAAGTCGATTCTGACTCATAGCGACCCTATAGGACAGAGTAGAGCTACCCCGTACAGTTTCCAAGGATAGCCTGGTGGATTTAAACTGCTGACCTTTTGGTTAGCAGCGGAAGCTCTTAACTACTACCGGAGTGAATGAAACAGACAAAAATCCCTGCCCTCATAGAGTTTCCGCTAAGGAGGAATAGCAGAGGAGCTAGTAAGAACAGGTTGGATTCTGGGTACATTCTGTAGGTAGAGACAACAAGATTTGCAGGCAGACTGGCTGTGAGGTGTAAGAGAAAGGGAGGAGTCTAGGATGACTATGAGGTTGTGTGCCTGAGCAACCGGAAGTCCCCAGGAGCCATTTCAACAACAGCTTTGGTTTATTTAGCCATTCAATGAGCTGCTGAGTATGAGGTTGGAAATACAAGTCCGGAATTCAGAGGAAAGATCAGGCTGGAGATATAAATTTGGGAGTTGTTGACTTACAAAATCTAACAAACCTACTGCTGTTGAGTTGATTCCAACTCAGAGTGACCCCATTACAGGATCTTATGATAGATGGTATTTAAAGGCACAGTGCAAGATGAGATTCCTTCAGTGAGAGAAAGAGACCCAGGATTGAGCTTTGAGGCACTTGAGCATTAATGGGTTGGGAGATGAAGAACCAGCAAAGGAGACAGAAAGCAGGTCTATGTGTGCTTGGGAAATCAAGTCAATGAAAGACTTCAAGAAGGAGGTAGTGATCGAATATGTCAAATGCTGTTGATGGGTCAAGTAAGATGAGGAATGAGCAGTGACCATTGAAATTAGCCATATGGAGATTGCTGGTAACCTTGACAAGGGAAGTTTTGGTGGCGTGTTGGACAAAAGCTCAACCAGAGTGGGTTCAGGAGAGACCAGGAGGAGAATGGGAGACACAAGTACAGACAACACCTTCGAGAAATTTTTGCAGTAAAGGAGCAGAGAAATGGAATGGTAGCTGGAAGAGGAAAAGGGCCCAAGAGAGTTCAGTTAGGATAGAAAAAATTACAGCAAGCTTTCAGGTGGGAGATCCAATCAAGAGAGGAGACACTGATGATGAAGGGGAGACTGGCTGGAGTGATATCCTTCGGTGGGTGGCAGGGCATGAGATTGAGAGCATGGACGATGGGGTTGGTCTAGGCAAGGAACAGGGGCTATTCATCCTTAACAGAGGGTAGAAGGCAGAGGAAAGTGTACAGACGATGGTGGATAGACAGACAAGGAGTGGACACTTGTGAAACATATCTCTGATATACACAGTACAGAGCAATGGTTAAGGGCATGACTTCTAGACTGGCTGGGTTCAAATCCCTGCTCCACCAGTCACCAGCTGTGTGACCTTGGCAAGTTTCTTAACCTCTCTGTGCTTCCGTTTTCTCATCCATAAAACAGTGCAATGAAAGCATGTGCCTCACAAAAGAACAAATATTATATGATCCCACTTTTATGAAGTATCCAAAATAGGCAATGTATAGAAACCAAAGTTTATTAGTGATTACGGGGTCGGGGGGGATGGATGGGGAAAGAGGGAGTCATTGCTTAGGGGAGCACTGAGCTTCTGTTAGGGAACCCTGGTGGTGCAATGGCTAAAGTGCTCAGCTGCTAACCAAAAGGTCAGCAGTTTGAACCCACCAGCCACTAAGCGGGAGAAAGATGTGACAGTTTGCTTCTGTACATATTTATAGTCTTGGAAACACTATGGGGCAGTTTTTTTCTGTCCTATAGGGTTGCTATGAGCTGGAATCGACTTGACCGATGGCAGTGGGTTTGGGAGCTTCGGTTAAGGGTGATGGAAAATTTTGAAAGTGAATAGTGGTCATGGTTGCACAACACGATAAACGTAATTAATGTTTCTGAATTGTATATGTAAAAAATGTTGAAATGGCAAATGTTCTGTTAGATAGCTACTTAGTCCATTGCCATTGAGTCAATTCTGACTCATGGCAACCCCGTGCTTTACAGAGTGCAACTGCTTCGTAGGGTTTTCTTGGCTGTGATCTTTGTAGAAGCAGACTGCCAGGCCTTTCTTCTTCAGTGCCACTGTGTGAGTTCAAACCACCAACCTTTAGGTTGGTAAATGAGCACAAACCATTTATGTCACCCAGAGACCTCATGTATATACTTACCACACATAGGGGGCAGTTCTACTCTGTCCTATAGGGTCACTATGAGTCAGAATCGACTCAATGGTAATGGGTACACATACAAAAAAAGTATATGCCTCACAGAGTCATTTATAGACGCGAAAAGCCGGAGCAGTGTCTGGCCCATAGTAGCCACCATGTCAGCTGGTATCACTGAAGCATCAACTGGCCCAGGGCAGGGAACTTGTCTCTTTTGATCACAGATAACATTCCAAGTGCCTAGAACAGTGCCTGGCACATAGCGGACCCTCTGTAAGTATCTGTTGACTGTTGAAAGATTGCTTCCATTTGTTCAGGCTAGCAGGAAGCAAGGGCAGCAGAGACAGCATGCGCAGGAGGTGACAGAGGCTTGAAGACAAAGGAGGAGGTATAAAATAGTTATCTAAAAAAGCGGGATAGCAAATGAACTAGGAAGGATACACACGCTGGACAGCATTGAGGGCTCACTTGAAGTTGGAGATGCTGAATTTTAAGTGAATCCAGGCAGTGTGGATGTATTAGCTGCCCCGTTTAAAAATAAGGAAGTTTCACAATAAAATAAAGATTTCCAGCTTTCCTGGAACAATCAGAGGATCTAGGTTAGCATTGTCACCTTTGCAACAGGTAGCTGAGCCTGAGTATCCACAGCCCCCATAGGTGGGGGCGCACCCCTGCAAACAGCCAACCCCTGCACCATCAGTGTGGTCAGGGCTGTGGTACCTGAAGTGGCTGGCCCTGGCTATATGCCCACTGCACAGGTGAGGATAGTGAGGGAAAAAGGGGCTTCGCCTCCCCACATTTCTCCACCACTCATGCCCCACTGTATACCCAGGTGGACTCATTCAGCTGCATTCCCTTCCTGGCTCTGAACACATTTGAATTTGGGACTAAACACCCCTCCTACTGGACAATCAGTAGCTGCTGAAATGATAGCTAATAACATAAATGATTTTAAGAAATGAAGGCTAGGTGCCAATCATATTGGGTGCCCAGTCCCATTCAGAGAGTTGTAAATAATCAGGAGACTAGCTGTGTGGGTTATTAAGTGCTTACTCTGAGCCAAGCACTAAGCCAAGCCCTATGCATGCGTTTTCTTATGCCGTTCTGACAATGGCTTTGCAGACATTATTATCACACCCATTTCACAGATGGACAAACCAAAGCTCACAGAGGTGAGGATTTACCCAAGGTCGCACAGCCAGGGAATGCAGAGCTTGAGCCCTGGGGCGTAACTCTCACCCCTGATTGCTGACTATTTTCTTGCCTATGGTCCCCAATGTCAAAGTCCCCAGACCTACCCGGTCCTGATGAGGTGCTCAGCTGCCCCCCGGAGGGTCCTCATGTTCCCTGACAACAGTAGTGGTCCAGGCAGGCGTCTCTGGCAGCGGTGGCAGGTGGCAAGGAAGTGGGGGAAGTGGTGTCCACTGGAACTTGGAAAAGCCTGTCACTTCTGCTTTTCCACTCTTTAATGAAGCCCTCCTGGCCGCCTCATCCCGCCCTGCCTGTGTCCACATACAAGGGGGTTGGGCAAGTGGCCTCACCCTCGCCCCACAGGCAGGAGCCAGTGGAAGGTGTGGAGGCGTGAGGGAAGCCCCTTCCCAGCAACTTCTCTAATTTGATACTAAAAGGGGCCCTGGTGGCGCAGCGGTTCAAGTGTTTGGCTGCTAACCAAAAGGGCAGCGATTGGAACCCACCAGCCGCTCCACAGGAGAAGGATGTGGCAGTCTGCCTCCATAAAGATTTACAGCCATGGAAACCCTATGGGGCAGTTGTACTCTGTCCTGCAGGGTCACTATGAGTCAGAATCGACTCGAAAGCCACGAGTTTTGTGGTTTTGGTTTAGGAGGGAGGTAGAATTAGCCCCATTTTACAGGAAAACTGAGGCCCAGAGAAGCCATACAGCTCAGTAGTGGCAGTGCCAGGACTAGAACTCTATTTTGCTTCCCTTTTCCTCCCCCTCCATAGTTATGTGCCCCAAGAGGAGGCTAATCCCTGGCTCTTAGGGGTGAGGACCCAGGGGAAACAATCAGGCCCCCGCTAAGGCACTTATCCAGCCGACAGTGGCTCTGGTCTCACTCTCCAGCTCCTTTCCTGTCTTTAGGGGAAGCAGACCTGGCTTCAAATCCCAGCTCTGTCCCTCCCTAGCCGTGTGACCTCAGGCAGGTGATCTTACTTTGGCTCTTAGGTTTCTCCACTTAAACAAGAAGAATGATAATAGCAGTTAACATTTATTGAGCGCTTACTATGTGCCAGCCAAGCTTCTCAACACTTTGCATTTGAACACACTGAATCCTTACTTTCAACAACCTTCTGTGGGAGGGACTGTTATTATCCCCATTCTTCAGCTCAGAAAACTGAGACCGAGAGAGTCAGTCACTTAACCAAGCCACTCGGCTAATAAGAGCAGGAGCCATGGTTTGTACCCATCCAGCATCTGGCCGGTTAGCCTCTGGGCTCCATGGGTCTGCAGGGAACATTGCCACACCTCCCAGGGTTGTTGATGACCTTGTAAGGCATCTGGCCCTGCAAATAAACCAGTTGCCGTTGACTCGATTCAACTCAGGGTGACCCACGTGTATCTGAATAGAGCTGGGCTGCACAGGGTTTTCAATGGCTGATTTTTTTTTTTTTTCTGGAAGTAGATCTCAAGGTCTTTTTTTCTAGGCATCTCTGGGCGAATCCCAACTTTCACCCTTTCAATTAAAAGCCAAGCTCATTAACCATTTGCACCACCCAGGTGCTTCAGGAGGCCTATCCTGAGCCCCTACCCTGCAGGGCACTTGGACCAGTCCTGGGGCTGAGCCCACTGGGGGAAGCACCCAGCTAGGTGGCATTCCACACTCCCTGTCATTTTCCCTTATAAGGACATGTTGCCTGAGCCACTGGCTCAGGCCTAAAGGGGGGTGTCGTGCAGCCAGACAGGGGAAGTGACATTCTTATAGTCACATAACAATTGAATGACACACCTGTAGCCAGAGCCCTCCGAGGGCCTAACGCCCTTCCTCGATCAGAATCCCCTCCCAGAGGCCAGGCCTCCTGACCCATCCAGTCTGCAACGAGCTGGGCACACGGAGCCAGGAGCAGTACACTCGCTGCCTACGGGCAAGCCAGCTAAGGTAATGAACAACCCAGGCCTGGTGGGAACCGGGAGGAGCTGGAAATGCAGGCCCCTTCGCAAAGAGCAGCTTCTACTCAGCCCCAGCCAAGGGTTGAAATCACATGGAAATGAGGCTTAAAATTGCCAGACTTTCCAATCTTTCCAAAGATGCCAGTCATCCCAAATTTTATGTAAAAATGTCCAAGTTTTTAAAATCAGTAACTAATTCCATTTTTTTTAAATGTTTAAGACTACGGTGTAGGTCAGTCTCCATAGGTCTGTGGGCTGAAGACAACATGAGGGCCGCCAGCTTGCAACCTCTGCAGGAGACCTCAGTAGCGTGGCTGCTCCCCTGAACTGTAGGGGCCCTGGGCTGGAGGCAGTAGACCTGCACTTGGAATGCCAGCTTTGCCACTTAAGTGCTGTGTGATCTTGCACAAGACACTGTCCCTCTCTGAACTTGTGTGTCCTCTGCTAGAATGAAGGGAATACTGGCACCTCCTTCTTAGGGTTGTTTGGGGGTTCAGTGAGATAATGTATGTAACACCTGTTGCTTCAGTCAACTCCGACTCACGGCAACCCCATGTGTGTCAGCGTAGAATTGTGCTCCATAGGGTTTTCAATGGCAAACAAGAGACGTCAGGCTCTGACTTAAGTCACCACCACTACTCAGCTCCAAACAATTGTTGCCAGGTGAGAATAAATGATCTTTCAGAAGTAGATCGCCAGGCCCTTCTTTCGTGGCTCCTCTGAGTGGACTCAAACCTCCAACCTTTTGGTTAGCAGCCAAGTGCATTGACTATTTGTACCATCGAGGGACTCCAGTGTATGTTGAGGGCCTGGAAGCAACAAATGAATGCTCATACCTCTCCTTCCGCCTGGCTGCTGAGCCCTGATTGTCAGGCCTCTGTGATGCCCACTGGGCCGTGACTCTGGTCTGGGCCCCATCACATAGGAAACCTCAGGGCACTGTGCTGGTCAGAGGGCAGCAGTCCTGGAAGATGCCTACTAGAGTCTGCCCAGTTTCTGCTCTGGTCCAGGGAGCTGATTGGTTAAGGGCCACATTAGTCATTTCCAGAAGCCTCTGGTGGGTATGTGAGATTCGGGAGCGTGCGAGCATGGAGTCCTGGAGCAAAGGGCAGAAGCTATTTTTTACTTTTCTCAGCACATGTAGGCAGTCACCTCTGTCTGCAGAAGGCTGGCCTGACCCTAAGGCCCACTGCAACGAGCAGGGGCTTCTGAATCATCAAAAACAGAATCAGTTTTGCTGAGGGGAATTTCTGGGTGACACATTCAGAGCCATAAGACAGAGAGGAAGAGGAAGTGATAAACCTTCAGAGCTGCCGGAGGAGCCTGATCTGTAATCAGAATTAGAGGTCCATGGATATTAGAGCCATTGAATTTTACAACCTATGGGTGTATAAGGAGCCCTGGTGGCGCAGCGGTTAAGAGCTCCCCTGCTAACCAAAAAGTTGGCTGTTTGAATCTACCAGCCAGTCCCTGGAAACTCTATGGGGCAGTTCTACTCAGTCCTATAGGGTTGCAATGAATCGGAACTGACTCGACGGCAGCGGGTTTGCTTTTGGTATGGGTGTATAATGTTGCCATTGGCCAGTTGGTTTGAGAATGCAGAGAGGCAGCTAAAATCTTACCATACAGACCAGTGCTATGCAATAGAAACAGAATGTGAGCCACCAATGCCAGCCACAGATATAATTTAAAATTTTCTAGTAGCCACATAAAAAAGTGAAATCAATTTTAATAATACCTCTTATTCAGCCCCATATGTCCAAATATTATTCTTTCAACATGCAATCAATATAAAAATTATTAATGGGATATTTTACATTCAATTTTGTGTACTAAGTCTTTAAAATCTGGTGTATATTTTATGCTTACAGCACATCTCAGTTCAGGCCAGCCGCATTTCAGGTGTTCAATAGTCACACATAGCAAGCAAGTGGCTACTATATGGGACAGCGCAGATACAGACCATTTCCATCATCACAGGAAGTTCTATTGGGCAGCACTGTTCTAGGCCATTAGAACTAGTGACCACTAAAGCTGAAATGGACGTTTCAGATTATGCAGCTCTTGGAGTCATAGATTCAAATGCTTTCAGAGGCCAGAAAGGTGACAGAGTCAAATGAAGAGAGCCAGTATAAGACACTAAGGAGTAGTGGGGACTGTGGCAAACAAGAGACATCAGGCTCCAGCTTAAGTCCCTACCCCTACCACTACTCAGCTCCAGACAATTATTGCCAGGTGAGAATGAGGGTCCCATGTTGCCTGATGTTCTGATATTTTCTTTTTCAAGAGAATCCAGAAATCCAGATTTGTGTGTATGTGAAATCTGAATTTTAGAGATTAGCAACTCATCTTTAATCTGCCAGGGTTTTGAGTTTTCCCTTGCCATTTCCTTACCCTCTGACCATACCTTTGTAACTAATCCTTTTATTAAATTCTCCTCCTGCCCCCAAATTACCTAGTTTGTGGTCTTACTATTTCCTGTTGAGACCTCTACCATGTACTCTCATTGCTCAGATGGGAAAATCAAAGTCTGAAACAGTAAAGAGACTTGCTCAAGGTCATACACGCGTGTTAGGGATGGATTCAGGAGTCCAGTGTGGCTTACTGAACTCCTCTTTCAATGACTTTTATTTCTTCTTCGTTGTTCCATCTATCATTACCGCTCCTGTTCCTATCCCACTTGGCTCTAATCTGTGTGATGTATGTACTGGAATATGTGTGTGCCTGACCCAGCACTCCATGTACCTGTAGTCCATCACCTCTACAGTTTGCTGTGTTTTCTGTAGCATACTTCCACCATATGTTATTTCATACTCCCCCAGTGATGCTCACCTAGGTGGCCTCCAACTCCTTAGGACCTCAAACAACAGTGGCACGAATATCTTTCTACACTGACTCCATAGGGACCCATGGGATAATAGTGCTGGGATATAGACCCAGGAGTAGGATAACTAGGTCATAGGGAAAACAGATAATGAATTCCCGTAATTATGCCAAACTCTGCTCCAGGCTGCCTGTCACAGTTCACAATCTTAGCAGCAGATCACGAGGGCTTCTGTTTCTTCATCTCTCACCATCCCTTATTACCCACTTTCTCAATGTTTGCCAGTCTGATGGCGGTATTGTGGAATATTGCTTCAATTTGTATTTTCCTGATTACGTGTGGGTTTGAGCATTTCTTTACAAGCCTGTTGGCCATTTAGATGTACCTTTTCAGAGTGACCTATTCATCTCTTTTGCTCATTTTTCTATTGGGGGTTTACAGTAGACGGCTTTCAAGGATGGTGGCCAACCATTCCTCCCCTCCCTGTACACGTATGCTGAACCTCCCATCAAAAGGTGAAGTCTTTTTCTCTCCCCTTGAATCAGGGAGTCCTGGTGGCACCAAGGGTTAAGCATTCAGCTGCTAACCAAAAGGTTGGCAGTTCAAATCCTCCAGCCACTCCTTGGAAACCCTATGGGGCAGTTCTACCGTGTCCTATAGGGTCGCTATGAGTCAAAATCGACTCAATGGCAACAGATTTGGGGGAATCAGGCCAACCTGTGACTTGCTTTAACCAATAGAGTGTGACAGAATTGACATTCCTGGACTTCCAAGCCCAGGCCTTAAGGGGCCTTGTTGCTTCTGCTTTTGCCCTCTTAGAAGCCGACTGCCCCATAGAAGCCCACTGCCCCAGAAGATGTGCAGTCTAGGCTCCTGCAGAGACCATGTGAAGGAGACTCTGGAGGGTCAGAGACTCTGGAGGGTCAGTCTATCATGGACTCTCCAGCCCCAGCTAAACTCCCAGCTAAGTGACCTGGCCGCCCCACATAGGGCACAGACAAAGCCATTCCTACAGATCTCTGCCCAAATTCAGAAGTGTGAGCAAACAACTGTCATGGTTTTGGGGGTGGTTTTCTATGCAGCCACAGATAACAAAAACGAGTTGTTTTTGTCCTTTCTGACTTCCCAGTGCTCCTTGTACGTCCCACACATGAATCTCTCCTATATTTCCAATGACTCTCCACCACCTCTGCCATCTTCCTTCCTCCCACCCAGCCGAGAGCACATCTGTAAGGGTGCCCCTGCCTCTGCCCAGACTCCTCTCTCTCCAAGAAAGGCAAAGCCTTCAGGCATCAGGGTCGAGTAACATCCAGGCGGGTGGTCCCTTGGAGGGTGGGTAGGAGTGCGATGTTTTCTGTGGAGGGAGATGTGCACGGCAGAGGGGCCTTGTAACCAGCCAGAGGCAACAGAGGGGCCTTGTAACCAGCCAGAGGCAGCAGACTTTCAATGCCCCCCACAATGGCCCAGGTCAGCATGCCCAGCCCTCTGCCAGCAGAGGCACTCTCTCCCCGTTTGGGCCTCCAGACCTCTGCACTTGCAGCCCCCTGGCCTGGAATGTTCTTCCCACAGACCTCATGCTGCCAACTCCTTCAGGTCCTGATCCAATGGCTCCTCCTCAAAGAGGCCCTCCCTGACCATGCTGGCTAAAGTGGCCTCGGAGTCAGGTTATCACACTGGCCAGTCTTGGTTCCTTCAAAGCCTGTGGTTATTTTACGTATTTGTTTACCTGCCTACTATCTGTTTCCTTTGCTAGAATGTAAGCTCCACTAGGGTAGGGATAGTGACACAGCACATAGAAAATAATAATAATAATAATAAAGTTGCCATCGAGTCAATTCTGACTCATGGTGACCTCATGTGTATCAGAGAACTGTGCTCCATTGGGTTTTCAGTAGCTGTGATCTTTCGAAGTAGATGGCCAGGCTTTTCCTCCGAGGCACCTCTGGGTAGATTCAAGCCGCCAACCTTTCAGTTAGTAGCCGAGCGCTTAACCACTTGCATCATCCAGGGACTCTGAACCAGCACACAACAGGTTCTAAATAAATGTTTGTTGACATTTGGGCAGAGACTTGAGTGAAGTGAGAGAGGGAGCCAGGTGGAGGTGACAGCATGTGCAAAGGCCCTGAGGCAGAAGTGTTTGGATGTGTGACTGGAGTGGTGTGAGGGAGAGGAGACTGGGAAGAGATGAGGTCAGAGAGGTCAATTCTGTGAACCCCCAGGCCAGGAATTTTGGACTTTGGAACTCTCTTATGTCTGTTGTTGTGTGCTGTTGAGCCGATTCCTACTCAAAGCAAAGCAACCCTATATGATATAGGGTTTCTAGGCTTAATCTTTTTTTTTTTTTTTTTTTTTGTGGATAGGCATCAGCTTCAAACTTTTTATTTCTTTCAATATCACAGGTTTGTTCTCTCTGATCACTTTTTTTTAAAATTGTGCTTTAAGTGAAAGTTTATTGAACAAATCAGTTTCTCATTTAACAATAAATACACAAATTGTTTTGTGACATTGGTTGCCAAGTCCGCAATGTGTCAACACTATCCCCTTCTCCACCCTGGTCTAGGCTTAATCTTTATGGAGCAGACCTCCAGGTCTTTTCTCCCTCAGAGCTGCTGGTGGGCTCAAATCACCAACCTTTCAGTTAGCAGCTGAGTGCTTAACCACTGCGCCACCAGGGCTCCTTCTCTTATGTCTAGAAGGCAAATAATCTCCAGGCCCAGTGTGATTCACATTCTTTATTTTATAGCGTTTTCAATCAGAAGTATTTGAAATCACGATTCATCTGGTTACAGGCCTTGGGGTTTTCTCTGGGAAGGAACTTCCTGTCCCCTGTCCCACACAGTCCACCCCCATCCCACCCCCACGGGCTGCAACTGTGATTAAATACGGAAGTGCTCACTTGGCAAGGAGGCCTAGCTCACCCGGGCTCAGGGGCCCCTCCTCTCTCCTCTTCCCTGCTTTCAGGAAACATCCAGGATCCTCTCTGCTTTGCCCAGAATGACTTTAGTCCCTGGGTGTTGCCTTCCTGCAGGCGCTGCTGGAGGAACGCTGCACCTCTGGGGGCACAGACGGGGATGTGAGGGGTCAGAGTGCCTTGGCTGTTGCCTTTTTTGAGGCTGAGCTAATACGGGCCTGTTCATTCAGGAGACATCTGCCAAGTGTCTACGGACCTGCTGTTGTTGTTGTGTACCTTCGAAGTCAATTCCAACTCACAGCCACCTGACAGGACGGAGGAGAACTGCCCCATAGGGTTTCCTAGGCTGCGTTCTTTATGGGAGCAGATTGCCAGGTCTTTTCTCCTGTGGAGCGGCTGGTGGTTCGTACTGCATACCTTTTGGTTAGCAGCTGGGTGCTTAACCACTGCCACCAGGGCTCCTTCTTCTGGGTCTAACACTGTGCTATTGATTGGGGATGGCGAGATGCCTACGCTTAAAACAACGAGAGTCTGAATCCTCCAGCACTCAGTTTTCCTGTCTGTAGAAGGGGACTGCAACACTTTGCCTGCCTGAGACCTTTGATAAGGCCCTATTTACCTTTTGACTTTCCTCTCGCCCCTGAAAAATGTGGCCTTTGCTAACTGAACATGCTTACCACTTAGGGTAGGGGTGGGGAGGTAAAGTCCAGCTGTGGCCCTGAAATGCATGAGGGAGAAAGAGAAGGTGTCTTACAAAATGAGCCTGTGGGCCTAAGTGGACCATTGGAGGTCATTCTTGCTTGCTGTGTATTGGATCACAGAAAAGAATTGCTTGATGGTCCTGTGGGGTCCTTAGCAGCGGGTGTTGGTGACAGCCTTCTGGGAGGGACCAACCCAAAGGGAGTCCCCTGTGGGGACTCAGAGGGTCCGGAGTCGTCAGTCAGGGTGGTGGCAGTGCCGTAATATTGGCTAAGTGGATGCTGGCCCAGTCTGGGAAGGTGCCCAGCTGGAAGATGGTCTGTGCCCAGGTATTTATGGCCAAGTTGAGCAGTAAGATGCCCATCAAGTTCATCAGGAGTCCTGTCCGCACCTGAAAAGGAGCCCAGATTGTGAGAGGGGACACAATATGCCCATTGTACAGATGGAGAAAACCCAGGCTCAGAGACAGGGAGTCATTCACCCAAGATCTCACAGCTGGGAAGCGAAAGAGCCAGGACACAAACCCAGGTCAGTCGATGCCCAAGACACTTCAATCTTTACACTGCCCTGGTCTTTTCAATTGCCTCAGATGCATGTGAAAGCTAGACAATGAAAAAGGAGGACAGAAGAATTGATGCATTCAAATTGTGGTGTTGGCAAAAAATATCGAATATGCTGTGGGCTACCAGAAGGAGCCCTGGTGGCACAGTGGTTAAAGTGATTGACTGCTAACCGAAAGGTCAGCGGTTCAAAACCACCAGCGGCTCTGCAGGAGAAAGATATGGCAGTCCACTTCTATAGAGGTTTACAGCCTTGGAAACCCTATCTGGTCACTAT